AGATGATTGTTCGAATTGTTTGACTGAGGTTGAAAACTGGGAAGCCGTATCCCCACCGGTAGAATGATGGTTGGAGGATGATGGGCACTGCGGCGACGGAGACGTTGTAGATGATGAGAATGAGGAGGAAGTTGGCGATGAAGCGGGGTGTGAGGAGGGTGATCATGGCTTCGGTTGAGAGACCAAGAGCGGCCATGCCCATGTAGACGTAGAGCCAGAAGAGAAAGAATCCGCCTGCATAGCTGAACCTGTCGACGTTCACGTACGGTCAGTCAAAAAGACGAAGGGAACAAAGATTCCGGTCTCATGAACGTACCTTTCGCCGAAAGTCACCTTGAATGGCAAGTTGATCATCGCGTAGCTGAAGCTCATGGGGATGTAGGCAAGCATAGGGACGATCAAGCGCATCTTGGCATAGGACCCGAAAGTGAGGAATGGAGAAATGACGCCTCGGGCAGCGTCGTGTGCCATGGTGATGACGAAAGCGAAGATGGCTGTAAGGGAACGGCGAGCGTTGATCAGCCTCTCACGGAGAAAGAAATTGTCAAGACGTCGACCGAATTCTCCACTTACTAACGTAAATCTGTCCGACTAGCAAAATTGCCGTCGAGACGGTCTTGGTGAACGGCCTGAGGTTGATGGAGGTAACAGCAAAGGGTTGGCTGACGGTCTGAGGAGCTCGGGCAGCGGTCGTGACGACGTCGGTGCTGGTAACGCCTGCCAACCACTGTCCCGTAAACATAGCGTTGAACTTCCCCAGAGTGGTTTGTAAGAGTTGGGTGGTTAATGGAACGATGAACGAGTTGGCTGCAATTTCGTTGCGACCCTGGTTGTAGTAGAACGAGATTGCCGAGAGGGGGTTGTATGACGAGTCTCCGGTGGAACGAGCATTGACGAGAGCTTGAGTGGCAGCGGAGTTGACTGTTGGGCGCGAGAGTTAGAAACAACGACGAAGACGGGGAAAAGAAATTGCACGTACCGACAACCGCAGCCCAGGCCTGTTCATCAACAACTGCATAAGCAACGTCGTCATCTGTAGGATATTGTGACGGGTCGACGATGATCCATGTCAGGTGTTGCTTTGGTGCGACGCCTTCGCCTCGAGAGTTGGCCTCGAAAGCCTGGACAATTGCTTGACCGAGGGCACCGTCTCCATCTCGATTGATCACCCAACCTTTCGAAATAATGACGTTAGTTTCGGGACGGAAGCTTCAGGGTCGGTTGCCAAGCGCACCTTTCAAATTTGGGACGTGTTGGGAGGTTTCGCCAAGGGAGCCCCAGTACACGGGCAAAGCGAACCACATCATGAGGATCATGAGGACCGTCGCAGCGACGATCATTTTGATGTAGACCTTGCGAAGGTGGGCGATTTGCGGGTCCCAGACTGCACAGACGGGGAGCAGGTCATTAGCGCCGTCGCCCCAAGGATTCAGAAACGGGTAAACTGGGGTACTGACATGAGTGCTGGTACTTGGCGGGTTGCATGGGTGCGGAGCCCCCGCCCTCTGCCGGTCTGTGACCAACGCCTTCTTCGGCGAGGTAAGCTTCCTCGCGCTCCTCAGTATTGCTGTTCATGGTCTGGCCAGCTGCAGATTCGCGAGACCTTGTCCTAGTGGGCGCCTGGGTACTCATGAACTGAAAGGGCTACTGGTACAGTGGGCCCGAGTGATGGAGGGTGGTCTGGATCAAAGCGAGGAATGGAATGAGTGATTGGCGTCGCTGGAGGAAAGATCCCGAGGGGAGACAGACCTTGAAGAGACTCGAGGGAGGAATGCGAATATCGACTTTTGGTCGTTGGAACCGAAAGTTTGAGATTCAGGGGCGGGTGATGTTACCGGCGGGCCAATGAGCGTCCTGTTCCAAGTTGGACTGACGTCAGAAAAATGGACAGTGGCCAGACGCAAAACGCTGGCTGCTTACTGAGACGAAGGGGGGAGAAAAAGTATCGAGAATGACGCGCTTGGCATAATATTTCTTCCGGTGTGGGTCTCTAAATAGATTCGGGTGGTGATCAAGGTGCCGGCGGACGGAGTCCGGTTCGTAAGCAGAAACACGTCACCCTGGCCTGCCCCCCCCCCTTCTCGGGTGTCTCACCGACTAATCTTGGCAGCTGGATCTCGATTCCGCCCCAATGCTGATTCAGCCCACGCTTCATTCCTGGCGTGTGTCGTTCTCAGAATACACATTGAATTCAGACAAGGCTCGGAGCCTCGAGGCCGTTCGAATGTTCATCTGCGTCGCGCATCTTGCGGCCCCGATACGCCGATCTTTGGAGTAGAATCGAACCTATTGGCATGTTCTTGAGACGCGTCATTGCGTAAGAAATCGGCAAAGGTGTCACAAGCGACTAAGGGGTGGTTGGGCATTAAGGGGGGGGAGCGGCGTCCTCGTTGGGTAAGCGGGCCATAAAATCTTGTGTAAGCGGGTCCGCCCGTTATCAGATAACACCCCACGGCTTTGTTAGCCCGACCCAGACGGACGGTCTATTCACGCGTCTCCCCGCTACACAAGGACATTACCCAAGAGGGGAATCAAAAAATAGCAACGGCCTCGATGCGTCCGCAGCCGCTCCCACTCTTCGGTATTTCTTATCCATCAACCGCACTGGCTTCCCGTCCAGGGTCAACGCGGATGTCGTTCTATTCATAGATATTTATACAGAGTTTCGAAACCAGAACGAGCGAGTGTGTTTATATCTTGCCCTTGTTTCTCAGCGTCTCTTCTTCCTCTTTCTGGATTTGCTCGTCAATCTCCGCCCCTCGGCTCGGTTTATGACCCTGATCCTTCGCAGCGGCAGTCGGAGGCTTCGCTTTCTCCTTCGCGTCAGCGAGGTCTGCAGCTAGCTCTTCCGTCATGGCTTTCGCAGCCCGATCTCTCAGGTTCTGCGAGTCTTTGGTGTCTGAAGGAGACGTATCCAGTCAGACCGGTGAATCACGTCGATGGCCCACCCCAAACCTACCATCGGTTTTGTGCGCGTTTTCAGGAGCGTTGGTATACCTGTCGAGGTCGATCTTGTTCTCTAGCTCTTCGATGGTGCGCTGGTCAGCGTTGGCCTAACGTTGAATTAAAGAAAAGGACCGTCAATTGGAGTTCCCATCCACTACTCAGAAACAGAACCCACAAGGGCGTTAGTTGCAGACATAATCTCAAAAGTGCGTCGATTAGGATGAATAGGTCGATATGTGTGGTTGGTTTTCTAGAGAAAAAGGTTATGATACCATTAGCCACCGTCCGTGTCGAGGGGTTAAGTACCCGGCCGGAGTGGTCATGACGTCACGGGCATGGTCCCGCCACTCCTGCGCCAAGCCTGACGTAAGCTGACGATCATCCAGATCGAGGACTTTCGAGAACAAAGACCCGCTGACGTCAGGGGGTGGGTCTCCCGTGTCGGGGCTCGCTCACGCGACGCTCCATATCATGCTTCCGTTGGACCCATGCCCGACAATCAATACATTACAACCTAACCTAACATCATATCATTCTACAAACAACAGCGCCTGGAACCATCGTAACAGGTTAGGGCGCCTCGATGGACAACGTCTGCCAATGGAATGGTGTATCAATGTGAGCGATTCAATGGGTACAGGTTATTTTGCTGAACGGGTCAAAGCGTTCAGAACTCACAACTATCCTAAGCACCCTCTCGGGCCACTTTTTGCATGCAGCCTCCGGGTCCGTTACTAAACACATTTTCCCTGATTCAGAAATCATCACCTCCACCTGGTATTTGGCTGAAAATTATCAGCTAACTAATCCAATTCAGAGACGAAAACACCTACCCCCTCCCTGCTTGATCACGGCGCGGAGGGTCCCATCTTGAAGAATGTCCCAGAATGTTGAACGGACGGGACCAGTTGATGGATTTTTCATCGATCTACTTGCAGTCATCGCCTTGATAACAGCATTTTTCTCATTTGTAACTGGTGTGAGGTATATCGATCTGACAAGGAGAATGCATCAAAGTTAGTCTCTTCGACGACTGGTGCTCAAGAGGCTCACGGAGCGTTTCCAGAGCCCAGTTTATTTTCCCTGTGATCGCTAGTGCTAAACTGAGCTCCTATCAAGCAGAAGGATGAATCCACACCCTAGGGCATTGATTGTCAGTCATAATCTGCTGACGTCCTTTTAGTACAGGTAGCTTACCAACATCCTCAGCTTGCAAGGAAATGAAGAAGGGTCCCACTCGACTTGGATCGCTTTTTCCTTGTCAGTACAATATATGAACCGAGTCCCGGCAGGATTCAAACACAGGCCGCCCATTTTGGTCGCTCCTTCTTTTAGGACACGGATTCTTCCCCTCTTAGTTGTGCTCGAAATAGAACGTGGAACAGATTTTGGTGTATTCGAGCTGTTCGTTGCCGGGGTCCATGAGGGAGCTCCCGCCGGCATGGGCGGCGCTGCTGCAGGTGTTGGCGGAGCTGGAGTTGGGTTGAACCTACACAACGGAATGCAAATGCCTAAGCGATCTTTCACGGCGGTTCGTATAATGGCAAAGGACTCACCGCGATGATGAGCGTGATGTCTCACCGTCCTCCCAATCGTTGTCAAGGATAGCTTCCTGCAAAAGACCCCAATCTTGACGAGTGGTGAACGGCAATTGTCGGTACCAGCGCAAGGCCTTTCCGGTGAAGCAAGCAGAAGCAAAAGTGGTAATCCACTTTTGGTCGTCAGATTTATCTATCTTGAACGCCTGGATGTTAACTGCTCGAATGAAATCTTCTGCTTCAGGATTGGTGTCGCCCCGGAAGGCCAAGAAGCCGTCTTACCACGACATTTAGAGTCAACAACACGTGTAGATCAAGTAGTTCAGAGCGATATACAGTACCTATATTTTCCATATATATATTCTGCTCAGTGATGAATCTGAACAATAGGTGCGGATTTACTTGGGATGGCTGCAATTGGGTGCAAGTGATCGATCGTGGGAGCCACGCCACAGGTTGCCGGTCTCTCCCCAAGATTTATAACATGTAACGTCACATATCTTCAATTCATTAGGAGGCAAGATGGCCGAGCGGTCTAAGGCGCTAGTTTCAGGATGTGATTACTAGTCTTCACGGGCGTGGGTTCGAATCCCACTCTTGTCACTATCTTTTGCTGCCTTCACTTTTAATTGATTACAAGTCCTGTCAAAAAAGTTTTTGCAGTACACCGCTTTTTATTTAATTTCTTGCTTAGCGTTGGATCTCATGAGCAACCGGAGGTCCCGCAGCACCGCTTCCTAGTTCAGGGGCAGGGTCGTGCCAAACATCTCGTCCCGATATGGTAAAAGCGGCCCTCCTTCCGATAACCACCCTCCTGTATTTAGACGAAGCATTCCCCATCACAATCAAATTACGGCTCTTTCAGACCTCACTGTCGTACGCTCACAGTGAGTTCGTGAGCGAGCATCTACAGTGCGTCCTCTGACAACTTCTACCAAGTCACGTCTTCTACGACAGGTCACTATGGTAGACAATAATTCACCAACTAGAGGGTCTTTCCGTGGTTGGCAACGGGGACGTGGTGCCGCGAGAGGCTGGCGAGGCCAAAAGTCTGGGCGACCAACGCCTGCCGCCCCGGTAAAGAAGCCTTCACCATCCCATATCAAAACGGATTTGGGACCCTTGATCGAGCAGTTCCAAACTCTTCCCAGTACGACAGTCCGAGCGCGCATTACAACGGTTAAACCTATTTGTTCGTACTCGTGGGTCGAAGCTGCCAATGGACCAACCATCCTTGTGCCGAGTAGGTCCTATTGCCGATCAACGCAGGTTTACGGTCTCTAATCTGCTTCTATCTTCAGGCTCCCCCCCAGTTTGGACAAAGGAGAGCCCCCAGCGCGTTCCCGCTGACACCGGAACTAGATTCAGCGACCAGAACTCTGCTCGAATGGGGCCCAAGTTATCTCCCCTTATACCGATATTCGCCTCGATCGACCACATGGAGGCAGATGTCGACCTCGGGTCATTTGACTTCATTACGGATCGCAACAACTTACTCAAACTTCTCCATTGGGCGACGAATGCGGAGGAGTACGACGACTTCCGCATTGACGTGGAGTTGGGCGGGAAGACTTGTTTCCTCACCCGCACGGATGAGAACGACATAGACGTCATCGAGGGCTTCCGTGGTTACGGTGAGGAGTACCACAAAGCTGTTACTAAGTGGCCCAAGGGAAGTGAGGGTGCCACAGGTCACCATCGCGCGATCTCCATTGTGAGTGTCTTGACGCTAGGTAACATACCCCTAGCACAGGTCTAAAGACTTTCTCCTTTTTGACTAGGACCTCGATGGAGTTAAGATCTTGCTTCGATTCGAGATAGATGCTCGGGTCGAGATACAGGAAGACAGCAAGGATTCGAAAGACGACGTGGATGACCTTGCGGACGCGCTCTCCAGTCTCCTTACAAGTTCATCCAAGGCATCTGCGAAAAAGACAAGCTCCTTTGCGGGGTTAACGGTCAAGTCAAGTGGGGATAAAGCAATGATACCCCAATCATCCATTATGAAATTGAAAACTCGTGCCGAGCACAAGCCTCTCAATATGGACGACGTCGGCCCACAGATTTACTTGTCTCAAACTCCGCATCTGTATTTAGCCAAGCACGTGCGAGGAGATTTCCAACCGGCCCAGCGCATTCTACCAGATAACGACAAGATCGAGCTTCAACTTGGAAAGCTGAGAGAAGCATTGTTGGATATTGTAGAAGTTGTGAGAGAGCAAGCCCAGGGTGAAGGATTGTGCTTGGTATGCGTCGATCGCAAGCTCGAGCTGTACAAAAGAAAACCTGGGACCGGAAGAGAGGTTGGATGGGAGATTATGTCGAAGTTTGTATCAGAACCGCTAACCGGTGGTGGATCTCGTTCTTGGGGCGACGACGCATAAGCCACATAACGCACGGGAGCTGTGGGACACAAGTTCCGAGGCTCGGAAACTTTGTAGCTTGTATGGACTTTACGAAACTATATCATCCAATGGTGCAGCTAGAAAGTTAGAGAGTTCACCTTTCGAGGCATTCCGATTCCTGAGGAATCCACTCCCTGGGTCGCTGACTCCACGCGGCTCCGGCGCAATTATCACTCGGGTTCCAAGCACCTTGTAAGGACCTCAAGCTACCATATAAGGAAAGTGAAACTCTCACAGAGATTTCAAAAGAGGGCAAAGAGGGACCTTCCCGAGGTCTCGATCAGTCTGTAATGGAGCAGAAGGTTCAAAACTGAACCTCATCATTTACACCCCTCATGATCATTCCTGTGACACATATTGAAGGATGGAGCACCAGTGTGACTGGAGAGTATAAATGTCTACTTGGAACGCCGTTCGTGTCTCGAGCAACCCATGTCGTATCACTCTTATTCTCCTCGTTCCTCGAACAGCTTCCAGCCCCGCCCAGCGGCGACCGGACCTAACTCCTATGAATACAATTACCGAGCACCATCTTCGAGCGCCTCTCATGGGTCGAGGAAGTCAACTCCATTGTACGTCAGGAAAGACCTTGGTAGTTTGGTTCAAACGTTCCAGCGTCCTTCCGGAACAATCAATCCCGCTCGAATCACGTTGGTGAAGCCAGTCAGCTCGTATTCATGGATCGAAGCCGGATCGAAGCCGACAATCCTTGTCCCCGGTGAGTTCATTCCGCCATCTGAGAGGTGGAACTTATATCCACGCGCACGTTGAAGGTTCGCCTCCCGTATGGATCGATGCCAACCCTCGTCGAGTTCCCCAGGACCAGGGACTTATTTATATTGATCAAAACTCTGCCCGAATGGGGCCGAAGACGTCCCCTTTGACACCTATCTTTGCTCGATTGAAGCGCTTGGTGCCGACATCGATCTCCAAGACTTCGATATCGTCACGGACCGTAATAACCTTCGGAAGCTTCTTCGCTGGGCCGATGGTGCTCAACCAGGGAAAGAGTTCCGAATCGACCTGGATATAGCGGGGAAAACGTGCCTTTTCACTCGCCGCGAGGAGAAAGACTCTGAATACTTGACGAGGCCTCGCGGGTATGGACACGAGTACGAGAAAGCCGCAACACGATGGCCCAAAGGCAGTGAACGAGCCACGGGCCATCACCGAGTTATTTCTATAGTATGTTGGACATTCCACAGATTGTTTACCTCTTCACGAACTTGCACGTTCTATAGAATATGGGGGGAATCAAGATCTTACTCCGTTTCGAACTTGACGCATGCACACAAGCAGTTCCAAGCGCTCCCAGCGTACTGGTCGACGATCTGGTTACGGCTCTCACCGAACTAAGGACTGAACCATCTGATTCAGTGAATGCGAGTTCTTTTAACAGTTTGGACATCAAGCGAAGTGAAAACCGTACTCTCGTCTCTCAATCCTCGCTCATTGAGATCAAGACTCGCTCAGGCACACTTGACGTGGATGATACGGCGCCCCAGCTATACCTATCCCAAACCCCTTATCTCTACCTCGCCAAACGCGAGAAAGGAGAGTTCAAGCATGTTGAAAGCATCCAACTTGATGTGGACAGAGTTGAAGGCCAGGTCGGAAAGCTGAGAGAGACCTTGCTTGATATCTTGACGGCGGTTCGACAGCAAGGGTCGGGGGCAGAGTTATGTTTGGTTTATGCGAATCGAAAGCTGGAGTTGTACCAACGTAAATCGGGAACCGGGAGAGCCGTTGGTCCGGAGAATTTGTCGAAATTTGCAAACCAGTCGGAGGATTGCAAGTAGTAGATGCTGGACGACCAACTGTAGAGGTTTTTTTTTAAATCTGGATGTACCATAAATTGGGATCTAGTGATCAGAAATGCCGATTCATCGAACTGAGCCTATCACTTGGAGGGCTTCAAAACGTTCGGACAATCCTCCCCGTGTACAACGGCGGTAATGTTCTCGAGTGTCGTCTTTGCAATTGATGTTAGAGCCTATCAACAGTGTGCGGTCGGTTAGCACCAGTAGGGTATTTCGAGCCTACGCGGCGAACCTCTTTAGTCAAGAAAGCCTGATGTCCCGAGATGAAGACGTTATTGAAGCTCAGAAGCCTAGCCAGGACATCATCTTGTATGACGCTTTGACTTTTGTCTTGGAAGAAGTATCGAGCCTCCTTCTCATAAACGTCTAGTCCTGCCGCGGAGACCTTCTTGCTCTTCAATCCCTCGACAAGGGCCTTGCTATCAACGAGACCACCTCGGCTAGTGTTTATGAGAACGACACCTTCCTTCATCTTCCCGATCGTCTCGCTATTGATCAAGTGCTTGGTGGAGGGTAATAGGGGACTGTGTAAGGTGATGATGTCGGCTCGTGCAAGGAGGTCCTCGAGCGATACGTAAGTGAATTTGGGATCGTTCTTCAGTTCTTCATTCATAATCGGGTCGTAACCTATAACCTTTGACCCAAATCCGTGTGAAAGAATGCGGGCGACGCGTAACCCAATCGCCTGTTGCCCCAACATGGTGTAATGTTAGACACGGAGTCATGGGTACTCTTCTTCGACGAAGCCACCCCCGTCCCAATAACACCGACAGTGCGTTCCTTGATGTTAAAGCCGAGAAGACCTTCAAGAGAGAAGTTGCTTTCGCGTACGCGATTGTACGACTTGTGACTGCGGAAGCTGTGGTCAGCAACTGCCAGCAACGAGTTGACGGTGTCGCATACTATTTCCTGATTACTGTCAGCATCATGCCGACGGCAAACTAGGACGGTAGGTAGGATGAGCGCTGAGATAATGCAGTTTGGACCAGCAACGAACCTCAGCAACTAAAATCAACCCGGGTAAGTACGTGATGGTCGCAGCAAGAAACTTGGACAAACCTGCATCAGGAGAGTATTGCGGAACACTGACCACCGTTATACCGAGCTCATGAGCTTTTTTTAAATCAACCTATATGCATGTAATTCGCCAGGTCGGCCGAGGTAGGTTGGTGTATGCCTGCCGCTATGTTATGGATGGTGGCGTACATTGTCCGCGCCGGCACACTAACCATGCGCGATGGAGTTTGAGCGACGAACAACGTGGTGCCCAGAAATACCTGCTTACCCGTAATGCAAGTAGCTTTATTCCTGCTTCCTTCACTCTCTTCAATGTTTCGGCGTCCGCTTTATCGTTTACAAACAGGCAAATAGCATCGCT